CACGGAGCTGCTTTCCAGCAGGTCAGTTCCTAATCTGTATTGGTGCATGTTGGAAGAAACTGCACTTGCTCAGAGTTGTTTATAAAGCAGCTAAAAAATAAATGCAATTCTGGGATTTGAATGTGAGCAACAGCTGCATTTCTGATATGTCCATTTTGTTGTTCACTGTTGACAAGGAAGAATTGGCTGCTGGCCTTTTGGCATTGCCTCAGTACTGCAGAGCAAGCTTGGAGGGTCTGTGTGCTCCTAATTGTGTAGTTCCACGTGGTTTTACCACGGCATAATGGAACAGCAAAGGGAGATTCATTTTTGGAACTGAGAAAAAGCTTGTTAAAATAGTTTCACTGTAAGAGTCATCAAATATTTATACTTTTTTGCTCAACGTAATTTATTTGCAGGAAAAGCTCCGTTGCTCTTGCTGCCCAATCATCTATTCTGGTAGCCAGAGACCCAAGCAGTCCATCCCAGAAAAATAACATTAGCCTTGACTCACCAAGTGAATGGCTTGGTATGTGTAGCTCACAGCACTCATTAAATACCCCAGTTTTCAGCCAAGTGCTGTTTGATTCAGAGACTTTTCCCCCAGCAATCTGGGGAAGGATGACCACTGCCTATTACTACTGGGTGCAGAGGAAAGCCTTCAGATTTCCTAAGAATTCTGTGGCTGCTAAGCCACTTTCTTCCCAGAACCCATTTCAGTAGATTGTAGTACTTGCAGCTTCTGTCAAGCCTTTGTTTGGCACTTCAAAAAGAGGCCAGGAACTGCAAACCATGCCACGCAGGGTACTTGTGGCTGTTGAGTAACTTGGCCTGATGGTGCAGCTCTGTTCACTTTCTGTGCTAAAACTGGATAAAGTAAGTGGAGTTCTAAAGTTTTGACTAGTAGTGTGGACTTTGTCTGAAACTCTTTAGTCACATCTCTGACTGTCTTTACTGTGAAAACCTTTTTGCTGAAATAAAAGTTTATTTTGGATGCTAAAGTAATTGTGTAATAAAAATGAATGAAGGAAAAGTCTACAGAACAAGTGGAAGAACACTCCTAACATTCCTAAGGGAATGGTGGGATTAAGGAATTTTTGTAAAACGATGTCCCAAAAGGAGTGATGTGTGCCTTGTCACATGACACATTTAAAGCTGCAAATGAGCTAAACCTATTGAAGTGTAGCTGGACATGAGTTTGTTAACATGTGATCTGTTCCCTTCTATGATTCATTGTACACATGGAAGGGGGGGAAAAAAAAAAATGCTCTTTGCAGCTCTATTCCAAACCTTTTGTTTTGACAGGTAGCATAGAAGAGCAGTGGTCTTTGGAAATTCAGGACAAAGGTCGAGTTACCTGTCCAACATGCCGGGCTGTGGTGAGAAAGACTGTAGAAGGACTGAAGAAACACATGGTAAATTGCAGGCAGGTAAGAACACAAGAGGTGAGCAATGTTTTCCTTACTCCTCTTCAGCTCACTGATTGAAATGCCAGCACATCATTTCAGTTTTATTTAACACCAGTTTCATCTAATCATGTTTCTAAGCAACAGTCCTTGTAAGAGGCTGCACTCGGTGTTTCTTGCTTGGCTTTTTGCTGGAGGCTTGGGGTAGTGAACAAAGGTGTAGCTGTTTCGTTGTTCCCCTAAATTTTAGTCTCTGTAAAATTTCTTCTGTTCTTAGTGGACAGTTACCAGGCCCAAATAAAATGTTCTGTTCTCCTGCTTCTTTCTCCCAAAGAGTTTCCCAGTGCTTTGGTTAATTTAGTTTTCATGCACAGTGTCTTTATTTCTAGGAATTTTTCACATGTCATCACTGTGGGAAGCAGCTGAAGTCCTTAGGAGGGATGAAATACCATGTCATGGCAGATCATAACAATCAGGTAATACAACTGCTGTGCATCTAGAAATCCCACAGGCAGAACAGTCTTTTGTTCCATCCCTGGTGCACAAAGAACCAGAACATAAAGTGTTTTTTCAAATGCTGCAGCTGTTCAAATAGTGTCTACCTATTGTTTTTTCTGGAAGATTTGACATCTGAAAAAGCAGTAGTATGTTACCAGAGGTGACAGGCATGCTACACTTTAGACAGGGAGGTTAATTTTTATTTAGGTTGGTTATATGTTACACATAAAATACATTCTCAATGAGATAAAAAAAGATCACTCATTAGGCTGCAATTTTTAGTCTTTTCTGCTTTGGTAGGAAGTGAGAGTTGTTCTACATCCAGAGCAGATTAGATTATAGTTCTTTACCAGCTCACGGGTAGAAGAGCAGAAGCAGCAGTTCAGTTCTTGTCTCTATTTACTGTACAGATACTAATGCTACAACCTGCTTTTCCTCTTTGCTATTACTTTAAAGAAGGCAACGTCTCCTCTTGTAGTTGTGAAGAGTTAGAACTTTCAGAAAGGTCATTTGGAAGTCTGGGTAAGGTGGTTTTTTACATGGTTCTTAGGACTGTGCTTTCTGAACTTACAGCTGTACTAGTAAATTAAATAGACCAGGAATCATGTTCTGGCCCTGAGAAATAGGTTTGTCACCCAGTTCTAACCTTTTATTCGGTCTAGGTGTAAAATTATTTTAAGGTAATGTAGGAGATAATATACAATAACTCTCAGAGAGAGAATAAAGAGCATCTTGAGCTGTAGTTCAGTGTAGTTTAATAACCATTCCAGGCAGTTAGCCTGTTAGGTTTAAGTTAGGCTAAGTGGAAATGGTAGGGCCAGTAAATGTTCAAGATGCATGACAGAAATGAGTCAGTACTTTCCACAGGCAGAAGAGGAGAAAAGTAATTATGGAAATGCATCCCCTTGTCCTTCCTAGCAGCTACAGTTTGGGACCATTCCTTATCAAGGCTTTGTTCATAAATAGCTATCTAAATGTTAAAACTCTTATCTGCAAAGTGGTTTTCAGGCAGTTTATTCATTTTAAAAATAGTTCCGTTTTTCTGGGCTATAAACAGTGATCATAGTATTAGATACACTTCTGTAAAATCATAAGTTGCAGAGATTCAATTATTTCAGAAGCTTTCCTTCAGCAGTGTGTTGAGCCAGTGAGAATAACTGTAAATGCTGAACATCTTGTGGTTTTTTTCATCTTCCTGCTGTGCTTCAGCCACTCGTGAAAGAAGGAGGAGAGCTGGATGAGCAGCTTGAGCGGGATCGTCTTCGGAAGGTTCTGAAGCGAATGGGAAAGCTGAAGTGCACAAGGGAGGTGAGCTGCCTGGTGCTGGGTACCCCGAGGCAGGCAGCAGCAGAGGCAGGAATGGAAAATGTCAAGAGAGTTCTGCTGGGCATGCTTTGGTGCTGGCCAAAGCTGGAGTTGTTTCAAGATCCTAGCTGTGCTTTAAGACAGTATTGTAGAATCATAGAATGGTTTGGGTGGGAAGGGACCTCCAAAGGTCATCCCATCCAAGCAGACCTGGAATGTTTCCAGGGATGGGACATCTGCCACTTCTCTGGAAAACCTTTTTTTTCCTTATATCTAGACTGAATCTCCCCTCTTTAAGTTTAAAACCATCAACCCTTGTCCTATACAAGCCCTATTAAAAAAATCTGTCTCCATATTTCTTATAAGCCCCTTCAGGTGGCTTAGATGCTCTAAGGTCTCCCTAGAGCCTTCTCTTCTTCAGGCTGAATAACCCCAACTCTCTCAGCCTTTCCTCATAGTAAAGGTGCTCCAGCCTTTGGGTCGTTGTCACCTCCTCTGTACTTGCTCCAACAGGTCCATGACTTTTCTGTGCTGAGGACCCCAGAGCTGGACCCAACACTTCAGGGGGGTCTCACCAGTGGATGCTGGTGGTCACGCTGCTGGGGATGCAGCCCAGGACACAGTTATGTTCAATTTTTAATTCTGTGCATTTTCTTCTGCCTTGACAGGGCTGCACAGGGAGCTTCACAAGCATAATGGGATACCTATATCATGTGAAAAAATGTGGGAAGGCTGCTTCTGAGCTGGAGAAGATGGCTATGAAGTGCCACCACTGTGGAAAAGCATACAAATCAAAGGCAGGGCTTGTCTACCACCTGCGATCCAAGCACGGGCCAGTAAGTGTAATTTGCCATAGTTACCAGGATAGTGTGTTGGTACCTCAGCCCTACAGGCTTGACACACACAAAAGCTTCTGTCTGCTACTTGAATGGGGAACCAGGGATACCAAATATTTGTATTTTTCTGTCTCTGGAGTCTTCTGTCCTTGATACTTCCCTTCCAGTAGCAGCTGTTGCTGTTCAGTGACTAGGATGAAGTTTTTAATAGTATGCCACCATGGCAGGAGTAAACTGTCCCCAGCCTGACCTTTGCTCCATGGGAAAATGACACTGCTGTGTATAAATTGAGAGGTGCTTTTCTTTGCTCTTAAAAGACCCAGCATTGGAGCAAAACAGGCAGTGCTATGCTTGTTGTCCATGAGAGTCCTACAGCAAATGTTGTGATACCCTTTCAGGACTCGTGGCTGCATTAAACTGTCTGCCTGAGCCTGACTCTGTGATCCCCCTGAGCAGGTTTGGGGGTCTGCCACACTAGTGGGAGGCACTGTCCTATGTCTGTGACAGTGAAGCACAGCTGCAGCAGCATTTTTGTGAGGGATTTGGCAGAATATGTATTTGCAATATGCAGTGTAACTGGAATAGGAACTTTGAAGGAGCCTTAATGTTTTTGGCTTTCATTGCAGGTCACTTTCCTCCATGAGGAGAGAAGAACAGAGAGCTTGAGGGAAGCAAAACGGGAGCCAAGTGACACGGGCAGAGTTCAAAGGAGATCTGCAAAGGTGGCAATCTACTATCTCCATGAGCTAGCTGGAGAAGAGCTGGCCAAAGAATGGCCCAAGAGAAAGGTTCTGCAGGACTTGATTCCAGATGACCGGAAGGTACAAGGCCTTAAAAATAGGTGGGCACAGGTCAGGAAAGGCAGCTACAGGCAGTGTGTTTCTCACAAGTCATAGACTGCAGATCACTGCTGCCAGGCAGTGATATTTCATAGTTTTTCAGGCTTCAGAGTTTATTCATCTTTTAGGCTGTATGGGGCTCCTAAAGGAAAAGGATGATTTGTGATTTTATTGGGGTAAGTACATTTAGAGGAGCTGTTGTAGTCAAAGTTGTGGGAGGTTTTGGGTTCTGGTATTGTGGGGTTTTCCCAGATTGAGTTATGTTTGTAGAGAGTCAGTGAGATGGGAGAAGATTGGTTATTCAGAGTTTGGCTGTTAGCACAGGAGAAGAAATAGCACTTCTATCTCACAGCCTGGGAGAGAAAGGGACATACTTGGCACTATGTGTAGCAAACATTGCTTCCAGCTTTCAATTCCATCTCTATCTCAGCTGAAATACACTCGACCTGGGTTGCCAACGTTCAGTCAAGATGTTCTGTGCAAGTGGAAAACAGAGATAAAGATGTACCGAAGAGTCCACTGCCCAAATGAGGTAATCCTGAAGTGTTTCTGAAGCTTCAAAGGGGACAGATGTCATGTCTGTATGAGCCAGCAGCTTTCCACAATCCCAAAACTTCAGTTTGTGGGAGACAAGTTAGTGTAACCAAGACCCTGTTTGGTTTGTTGCCGTAGGGATGATCCCTCTGTGGATCTGTTTGTCCACTTCAGAGCCTGCAACTTGATGTCAGACTGGTACAGCCTTCACATCCAGCTGGGAGCTACTCCTTTTGGAGGCTTGAGCAGTGGAAAAATGATGGGCCTGTGCATGTCTAGCAGGTGTACTAAATCTAATGATAGAAGAATGGAGGAAAAGAGATGGAAATGTAGGAGTTGAGGGACTTAGTCTGGCACAGCTCTTAAGTTTTCTTTTGGAAATGTGCTACAGGAGGCTCATGCATGGCACTGTTGTCCTGGTCAGGTCATGCTTATGCCTGTGAATTTACAATCCCATGCAGCAGTCACCAGCTAGATCCAATGAGAAAGAATGGCCCCAGTGGTGGAAACTATGGTAGATGTGGTGCTTGTGACATGCACTGCTGGATAGCTCAGGGTCAGCGATGGCTTCCATCTGTGTTCGGTGTAGAGACAATGCCTTCCTCCTGGCCAGCCCCAGCACTCTCTCCCCAATTTACAGGCTTGTGTCATTTCCAAGTGTAAGAATTGCAACACAATGTGGTATGTGGAGCTGTCCTGTTGCACCCACCAATAACCCAGGAGCACATCTTGCACCTACCTCCTGTCCCAAGGCCTGTGCTGTTGCCTGAACACCACCTGGTGTCCCCAGACTGATGCCTACAGCCTGTACAGCTGAGACCCTTGGTGTGGGAGGCAGTACAGCTGCTCTGTGCCACTCCAGCAGGGCAGGAGAGATGCAAGTGTCTTGTACTTGACCCTCTGCTTTGTTTGAAGTGAATCTTCGCTGCACTTCAGGCAAAAGGCAGACTCCTACCATGATACTCAGGCCTTGGATAGAGGGTGAATGTAACTGAGACAAGACTGTCTTTATTACATCTAAATGAGCTCAGAAGCTGGAAATATTTAACTTACTGAAAGCCTAAATCTCTTTTAATGGTCTGTTTAGCAGAACCTTTCTGACTTTGTCAGACTCAGTATCTCCCTCCCTCTACCTCTCTTAGCCTTTTTGGAATTGTTTTGCAGAGAGTAAGGTTTTCTCGTGCAGGAAGAAGTGATTTCTTACTAGTTTTGCTGACACACTTTTTTACTATTTCAGGGTTGTGAATCTGTGTATGGCAGTGTCTCAGGACTCAAATCGCACCTTGGCACGTGTACCTTGGTTGGTATCCTTGTACTCACTGTCTTTTATAGCAGTAGCCTGACTGTCCCTGACCCTCAAGTATCTCCTTGTTCAAGTTGTTGTCCTGCTGTCTGCTAATCCGAGTTCCTCACAATTTGAGTGCTTCTCTGTGTGCTAATGGGCTTACCATTGCAAACAGTGCTCAAGGCAAGCAGGAAGCATCTTAATGGCATGTGTTTTAGTGAAACTGCAGCCCTACCTGTAGATTGACAGCTACAACAGCATTTTTTCCAGGTACAGGTCTGGAGGCCTTGTAATGGCTCATCGAGCCATCCTATGCTTTGTGGGCATAACTGCTCAATAAAGTCAATGCTCCTGTAGCTAAAGCACTGTCTGATATGAATAAGAGTTTCTGCTTCTTACTGCTGGGTTACACCTGAGCAAGATTCAGTACATTATTATAGCTGTATCAGCCTTCTGGGCAGCAATTGGTTATGGATTTGTTTGTTTGTTTTGTGCCAGGGAGACTTCGTGGCTGGTAAATACAAGTGTCTCCTGTGTGACAAGGAGTTCATTTCAGAGAGTGGGGTCAAGTATCACATCAACTCTGTGCATTCTGAGGTAAGGCAGGCAGAATGGAAGTGCTCAAACCCCAGTTTGTTGCAGGTGGGGAGGGTGTCTTGGGAAGGAAATGTGAGATACTTGCCCTGTTTTACTTTTTTTTTTTCTTGGTCACTGCTGGAAGCAGGATCCTGGACTTGAGTGCCCTTTGATTTGATTAAACATATCTGGTCTTATGCCTTGGTTGGGGACCAGGTGTTGTGGGATGGCACTTGTCCCAAGCTGCTGCTGCTCAGTTCAGCTCTTCAGCATTTCCCATGCCTTTAGCCAGGCCAAATCAAATCAGTGACACCTGAGGAGAAATGTCAAAAGAATAGAGCTTTGTCAGGCAGCTGCCTTTCCAGATCTCACATTTGAAGAAACCCTGGCCCCACAGGGCAGCTTTATTATAATCCCTGATATGCTTTATGTGGTATTTCCACCATCAGTACCAATCTGTTGCCTTCTAAACCCCCCAGGACTGGTTTGATGTGAACACAACTACGACCAAAAGCTTTGAGAAGCTCATGAAAATCCGCCAAAGAGAAGAGCAGAAGAAGCAACGGAAGAAACGTCCTTTGACCCGGAGCAAAAAGAAGAGAACTGGGACCCTGGCTGCCAAGAAGCTTCCCACTGCTGGAGCTGAAAAAATGAGGAGTAAGAGAGGTCGTCCACGGCAGGTGGACAATGAGAGTGTGAGCAGTGATGAGGGGGAGCCCCAGATTGCACAGAGAGCCGAAATTCCAAAAACCAGCCGCAAGCGAGGCCGGAAGTAAACCCCTGGAAGATAAGGAGTAATCCTAAAGCTTTTCAGTTACAAGCCCCACTCCAGTCAGTCTCATAACCCACAGCACTAATACAAGCAACTGAATGTCTTTGGGACTGTGAGTCCATTCTACTCGGTGACCTTGATTTTGAGACTGTTGCCTCTGGTCAGTGTGAGAGACTTCAGACCAAAGCTGTGGTAAAGAGGCTGCTGCTCCTGGTGTGGTTCCCCTGGGCGGTGGCACTAGCCATGTACCTGGCATAGTTCCTGCTCTGGTTACAGTCTCAGTTTTGGGTCACATTAGTTGCTTGTTTAGTGATTTCCAGTGCAGCAGCTGTCTCTTTCATCATCTTCCTCTCATGGGTGAGATCAGGGTTCTTTTATAGCAGTTCTCCATATAAGGGGCTGACGAGCACAATGTTTAGGCTGCTTTTAGGGGGGGAATCCTTTCTTGCGCAGTGTGCACAAACCAGGCAGTGCTGCACAGAGTACAAAGGCATTAGCTTGCCCTGTAGATGTCCAGTCTGTTGTCAGCAAGGCTACCCCAGGAGAGCAGATACCTTCCTCACACGTGCTCCTGTCTGTTGCACAAGGGACTGTCTCTACTCCATACACTGATGTTTAGGTTCAGCACTAGACAGAAGCACGTGAACTCTGGTCTGCTTGGTGGTGAAGTGACATCATTATTGTCCTCACCAGGAACACAGTATTCCCCTAGCATCTGTTTTCTCTAGCACTGGACATGGAATATATGTAGATGGTCTTCCAGTCCAGTGAGGAATAAATACTGCCCAGCATTTTTGAGACTCTGGTCTTCCAGAGACACCCAGTAACTATTAGAATATGGTGGCCTTCTTGGGCCCTCTGAAGACTGCTTGTTTCAGCCTCACCTGGGAAACAGGCTTCCTGTATCTCCAGTTGCTGCCTTGCTGGTGCTGACACCCAGGTTCCACTGCACTGCCTCGCCAGGCAGGTTGTTCTTTGTTGTGACCATGCTCCCATGGTGTCCTTTTCCTCTGCACTGTAGATGCCACCTTTGTTGTGTCCTATCTTATCTTTGTTCTGTTTCTTTTCAGTACTGCTTCCTCTGTGAATGAGGTATATTAGCAGTGGCTTCCCTGTATGGAAAAGGTTAGAAGAAAAGGGTTTGTTATTTTAAGTCACATGTTGGTGTGACCTCTGGATCATAGGGAGTATCTTCCTGTGCTCCATAAACATAGAAGCTGGAAGGGAATAGTGACCCAGGCAGTCCCGCTCTGTATTTCAGAGAATGGGGTCTCCAGAATTTCTATTGCCCAGAGGCTCACTGTACCAGGAATTTGCAAAATTTTACCTTTTCTTTGCAGTTTTGTAGGCAAGAAAATAGGCAGCTGACTCCATGTTACCTCCCCATGAATTTTCACTGTCTACCTAAGTTGCTGGTGCTGGAATTCACAGGGAAGCCCTTGCAGCACCTGGTGAACAGGCAGGTTTGTACTTGTGTTACTGCCAGAATCCTCGCACTGGCCCTGGCAGTAGGAGGTGCTCTCTGGCCAGGGTGCTTTCCAGAGCTGTCTCTCCTGTGTAAGAAGCAGAGCAGAACCCAGCTGAGCATGGTCTGTCTCGTGGGGGTGACACCTGCGTGGCAGTGAGGCAGCTCACAGAGCTCCGTTGGGATTTACCTGAAGTGGTGACACAGCAACCAGTTGTCACAGTGGCTGCAGTGCTCTGCTGAAAGTGTAACCATGTGGCCTTCTGTGCAGGGGCTTATAAGGTTTGCAGTAAGGGGCAAGATCAGAAGATGACAAAATAAAATGTCACCAGTGTAAGGATATGACTTTTTTGTCTGTTTGGTGTGTAGTGTTCTTGGTACCATCCCCATCCACACAACGCAGCCCAACCTGCCCCCTTGGTTGTCCTGCATGCTCTTCTGCTGTTCAGTTGTCTGCAGAGTTTCTCCTCAGTACTCCTCTCCACACAGCTGTGTTTTGACTACACTTTTACTACCTTCCTGCCCAATAGATGAACACCATAAACCCATGAATTAAAGGAGGTTTTTCATAGTGAATTTCAAACTAGAGTTCTGTTTACTTTCATATATGAGTTACTAACCAGACCTGCCTTCTAGACATGGATGCTTTGTGACCACCTGCATTTTGTGCAGTTACATCAATGATATTTCCACATCACATGGCATGTGGACAAAAATCATTATCCAACAGCATTAATGCCCCACCAGTGTTAGAGCAGATTGTTTGCTGGGTTGGCTCAGGCTGGTTAGAGGCGTTGACACTGCTGCACCCACACAGCCCACTGCTCTTGAGGAGTATGGTCTGTTGAGGAGCACCTGCACCCTGCTGGGGTTGGGCCAGCAGGCTGCCCAGTGTGATTGCAGCAACTCCTGGCTGCCTGGGAGAATTCAGCCTCAAGGAAGATGATGTATTGGGGAGTTCACACCATCATGTGTATCTCAGACTATAAATCACATATAAACCCAGGTAGTTGTACTACAGCCTACCATGCTAAGGTTTACGCTTCAAGCACCCATGGGACTACTGTTCAATCCATAGGTAAGAGTTCAGTTGGCCTAATGTTCTGCAAGTCCAGGTCAAAATTCTACTCTGTAGAATCACAGAATGGTTTGGGTTGGAAGGGACATTTAGAGGTCATCTAGTCCACTGTCTGTGCCACAGGCAGGAGCATTTTTCACTGCATCTGGTTGCTCAAAGCTGTTCAACCTTGAACACATCCAGTGATGGGGCAGCCACAGCTCTGGGCAACCTCCACTGTCCCACCACCCTTATGGTAAAAAATACATTCCTTTTGTCCAACTTAAATCTAGTCTCAGATAAAATTTTTGTCCCTTTTCCTGTCACTACAGGCCTTGGTAAAAAAAAAAATCATCTTCTTATCCCCTTTATATACTGAAAAGCCACAATAAGGTGTCCCTGAAACCTTCCTTTCTCCAGACTGAAGGACCCCAACTCTCAGCCTGTCTTCAATGGGGAGGTGCTCCAGCCATCTGTTTTTGTGGTCTCTGGACCTGATCTAACAAGTCTTGTACTGTTGGACCCAGAGCTGGACACAGTGCTCCTGGCAGGGTATCATGAGAGTGGAGCAGAGGGGGACAATCCCCAGCCTTGACCTGCTGGCCACACTGCTGGTGATGCTACCCAGGACACATTTGGCTTTCTAGGTTAGAAGTGCACACTGATGCCTTGGATCCAATATTTTTGTATCCCAAAGTACTTCTCCGTGAGGCTGCTCTCAATTCATTCCCAAGGCTGTACTGGCATTGGGGATTGCTCTGAACCATGTGCAGAAGCTTGCACTTGGCTTTGTTGAACTTCATGAGGTTCACATGTGCCCATCCTGCAAGCCTGTCACATCCCTCTAGTCACTACTTCCTTATTCCATTGATGAATTACACTAAATAAGCTGTGTCATTTCATTCAAACTTCTTTTAATTTCAGCCTCTGCATCTCACAGTGCTTGGTCCTGGTAATTTAAATAGCTTTCTTACTGCATATTTGTAAACTTAACTCCATACATAAATTGCTGTAGGAGTTAAAGAGACTTGCTTGTCTCAGCCAAAACACTTTTTTCTTTTTTTTCTCATTTGTTGTACTTTGCTGCCACTTTATGTATTTATTGGTGTATTTTTGACTTTTTAAGTCCGGAGACATGAACCAGGAGTCAACTGTGGTGTTTGTAATAGTCTGTCTTATGTGGAATACAATTATAATGTTGTTCACTGTTCGTTGCCATTTTTATCTCATCAACTGCTCTGTTACAGTGTTTAAATTCAGGTTGCAATTTACCCTCTTGAGTACATTTGTCAGTTGTTCTGCAAATGTGTCTGGTGGCCTCTTCCCTTTGTTTCTAGCAATTCAGGTTAACAGGGTTTATGGCCAGACAGCACATGATGAACTGATCTGCCCTTTCTGAAACATTATTATATATTTCACAGAATTACTCTCGCAGTGACCCTTAATAACTGTGTATTTTGTTGAGCAACTTTCCCAGAAAACTCAGTTGTATAATCAGTCTTTTCATTACTTTCATTTGTCATCAGGTTTTTTAATCTGCAGATTTTCTTTGTGATTGTTTTGTAATTTCATTAACATTTTTTATAAAGAGGTCAAATAGCTGCCGTCTGGGATTCTCCAGGACAAATCCTTATTTACAAATATTTGGTAACTAGCATTTTATGTGCTTCACCAGTATTTGTGTACCATGTTGGGCCAAGAACAATGCCTTACGGAAACTTACAATGTCAATATCTCCTTTTACCAACCCAGACTTGCAATTAACTAAAAAAATACCGAAAACTCTTCTCTGTGAAACCATGTTGGTGGGTTTTACTTATATCTTTTGATGTCAACTGTTCTGGTTTGCTGGGGAGATTTCAGCCTGATAAGCTGTACCTAAACTGACCGTGCAGCTTGTCATTAAATACTGTTGTAACACTAGAGGTTGGGTTTGGTTTGTTTTGCTTGGAAGAGAAAGAACACCTTGGGATTTGGAGGTTTGGGGTTTTTTCTTTTTTTAATCCTCAAGAATTTCCTTGTTTCAAGGATTCTTAAAAGCCTTTAATAATTCAGAGAGCTTTTCAGATGATGACTCACCATCCTTCCCCACAGGTTATCCAGTTCTGTAGCTTTAGATACATAAAATCATAGAATGATTAAGGTTGGAAGGAACCTTAAAGATCATCAGGTTCCAATCTCTTTGCCATGAACAGGGACACCCCACACTAGACCAGGCTGCACAAGCCTCATCCAAACTGGCCTTAAACACCTCCAGGGAGGGGGCAGCCACAACCTCCCTGGGCAACAAATTCCAGTACCTCACCACCCTCATAGTGAAGAATTTCTTCTTAATATCTAACCTCAATCTCCCCTCTTTCAGTTTAAAACCATTACCTCTGGTGAAAAGTCCCTCCCCAGCTTTCCTGTAGCCCCTTCAGGCACTGGAAGGTGCTCTAAGGTCTCCCCAGAGCCTTCTCTTCTCCAGGCTGAACAGCCCCAACTCTCTCAGCCTGTCTCCAGAGCAGAGCTGCTCCAGCCCCCCGATCATCTTTGTGGGCCTCCTTTGGAAAGGATCC